CAAGCCAATGCTTTCCTTGGTTGCACTGAGCAACCCAGGTTTGCTCCTCGCACCTGGGCAACCTGGGGGGCCCACCCTGCAGCAGACCCCACTGCCAGGAACCTGCCCACCCCAGGGAGGACAGCATGGCTCAGGTATTGAGGTCCCCCACCATGGGGGAGACTTTCCACTCTGCCACCCCATCTCCCGTCTCCTCCCAGGCTCATCTTCCACTCCCACTCGCTCCCTCTGTCACCCACAGCTGGCCAGGGTCATCCCAGCAAGGAAAACAAATGAAGCTCTGAAGGGAGCGGCCGGACCACGCTGCCAGCAGCCACGGGGGCTCGCTGGTTCTCGGACGGCATTTGAGATGCCCCATGGCCCATCTTCACTCCTCTCTTACCTGGGCAGAGCCGACATCAGAAGCTGCACGCAGGATGCTCGGGGCTGCTCCTTTCAGGGCACGTTCATGGCTTGGGGGTATTTCATCTGTGTCCCCCCCAGCCATGTCCCAGGGCTGGTCCCACTGCTCCTGCAGCGGGCAGGGCTGGAGAGCATGCAGCAGGCTTGAGGGGCCTGCGGGTACGGCGTGGTGCTCTGCCTGCAGAAGCCCTGGCTGCTTTGGCAAACATCCCAGTTCCTTTGGCTGAAGGTATTTAGGCAGAGGCCACTGGAAAAAGTGATGTGCTCTCCGCATGTATGTGCCACCAGCAGCCGTGGTCCAGCAGCATTAATCACCATGTCAGGGTGCCAACAACTACACAAACCCAAGGAAACATCTTGCTGTAGCTCACTGAACTGTGAGGGGAGCAACCTACCCCTGCCTACCTGGCTCAGGAGGGGTTCCTGCCACCCAGTGCTGTGCACAGCACCAGCACATTCCTTTTTGTTCGCTACCTGCTAAGAAGTCACCTTAAGCAGCCTGCAGGTTGTGCTTTGGTGGTACGAGACACAGAGGAAGCCACGTGCTGCCTCTGTCAACACCTTGGAAGGGGCCCATGCATGCACGTGCATTTGTGCATCTTGCAGAGATGCCCATCAGTAACAGCTCTGTCCCATCCACGGGTGCATGTGCCCAGACACGGGTGCATTTCAGAGCACCGGCAGCGCTGGCTCGCAGCCCCCCAGCTCCTCCATGGCACTGCAGTCATGTCTCACTCCAGGGCACGCAGCTCCTTCTGCTCCCGTGTGCGCTACACTAAGGGTCAAGCTGGGAGCAGACAACCTTTCCTCCACAGCCACCGAGCCATCACAGACCGCTCACATCTCTGTCTCTCCTCCTGGGGCTTTTTCCCTCTAACCCCGCTGCCAGGAGCTGGCTGTGCTCTCCAGGAAGCAATGTTCTGTCTTGCCAGCAACCAGCACCCCCAAATACACCACAGCAACTTTGCTCTTTGCTCCTCACCTGTCTGGTGGCAGCTGGAATCACACTGAGTCCTCACAGTCCCCCATCATCTTTCCCCTTCCCCAGATGAGCAAAGAAAGACAAAGAGGAGGAGGGAAAAGTGCACAAATCCCCCTTCCCAGCTCTCAGAGCCTTCTAACTGGGTTTTTACATTCACTGGGGGCTTTTATAGCCTAGAGGTAACTGATTGCTAATTAACTCAGAGTATTTAGCACCATTGCAAAACCTAATCTGGCCCCTCCCTAAACAAGTGTTCCTAACTCTGAGGTTGATTCTGCCCTGTGCTGGGCTCTAGAGCAGAATGGCTGATGTTTGTGTGCTCGGACAGACACCTGGAGCACCTCTGGCTCTCCTCGCCCGGGTGTTAGAGCTTCACTGGGTGCTTGTGCCGGGCTGTAGGCA